GGTTGAAAAGAAGAAAGTGTGGATAATCGATGTGGCAATACCAGGGAATAGTAGAACAGAAGACAAAGAACTGGAGACGATCACAAAGTATCAAGTTCTGAAAACTGAAGTTGAAAGATTATTGAATAAACCGACCATGGTGGTCCCAGTGGTTATCAGCACTCTGGGTGCCATAGCAAAAAACCTTGGATGGCACTTAGAAAATCTGGGCATTGACAAAATTTCCATCTGTCAATTACAAAAGGCCACACTGCTTGGATCCACACATCTACTACGTCGATACATTATGACATCCTAGGCTCTTGGGAAGAACTCGATGCGAATGAAGGCCAACACCAGCCAAAGAACTGGCAGCTATGATTTCACATTGTTGTGTATAAACAACAGCAAAAACAACAACATAATAATATGCCACTCGACTTCCAGCAACTCTGTATGAATGTATCAGGCTCGTATTGTGGATCTTGTACAGTATAGTAAAGTGGATGATAGAGAAATCTGGGATTTTGTTACAGTGAACACTTAACCTGTAATCCTACACTTAAAGCAGGCAGGCAGTGTGACCTCTAAGGAGAGGTGCTCCACCCAGGAATCGGCGCTCCTTTGCAGAATTAGCTTAGGCATTTCACACAACCATCCCTCCCTGCTGTCCGGTCCTTTTTATTGTCTCCAAAAGTATTTTTAAAAGGTCCTCTTCAGCCACCCTTGCTCCACTGAAAATATTTTCCCAACCACAGCCAGTTTTGTAGCACTAACCTTGTGTACGCACTCTCCCTCCACAGGGGTCACCACAGTCCTCACCATGACGACCATCAACACACACCTACGGGAAACTCTGCCCAAAATCCCCTACGTCAAAGCCATTGATGTCTATCTCATGGGCTGCTTTGTCTTTGTATTCCTGGCACTCCTGGAGTATGCATTTGTCAACTACATTTTCTTTGGACGAGGCCCTCGGCAGCAGAAGAAACAGAGCGAGCGTCTCAGCAGGGCAAATAACGAAAAGCACCGATACGAGGAGAAGCGGGTGAGAGAGCAGGTCTGTTACTTTCCTCATTGCAGAATCATGGGCAAAGTACAGTTTACATCTTGTGAGTGTGAATGTAGAGAGTAAGGAAAATGACTTGGACAGAGTTATGTCAGCTACATTACCAAAGTGACGAGGGGAAAAATATATCTTAAGTCCACAACAGGCAGAAAATAGGGTTAAGGTTAGGGTTAGGGAGGCTCAGACAGACACCTCCCTAATTCATAGGAGTATAAGAAGGGAGAGGATGCATAGCAGAATCAAGACTTGCAAGATTCTGTTATTAAAGCCACTCTCAATAAAAGTAGTTTTAGCTTTTCCTGGTGTGGTCTGGCAGGTAGGGCAGACATCTTGCAAGTCTGAATGTGCTCTTTTAACTTCTCACCCTCTCTTAGATGATCTTATCAGGGCTATCCCACCATGACTTTTCTTTTCTTTTTCCTTTTACATTTACATTATGTAAAATAAATAACTTGATGTTGGATATATTAAATTTCAGATCCATTCTCTTGTTGCATCATGCAATCTATTTAGCCTTCACTACAAATCATCTAGGTTCTTACCCAACAATATGGTATTGTCTGTATACAAAAATACATAGACATGCAAACCAACATCCCTTTACTGTCAGCACAAACACTCCTTATATAGTTGCCCAAAAATGCATTCAACAATTAATTGGACCTCACCCATCCTTGTTCTACTCCTTGCTCAAAGTTGAGCCACTTGCTAAGCATTCCATTTATTCTCATGTATGATTATGATTATTACTATTATTTTAAATTTGTTATGGCTGCCCATAACAAATTCTGGGCATCTTACAAACTCCAAATACACAGTTAAAACAATTAACATAAAACAGATAGCCTGGACTAAAAAAGCCATAACAATAAAAACACAAGGGCCCCACAAACGCATTAACCTCAGGCCTGGGAACTGAGCTAGTATTTAAGGGTTTTCCAGAACCCCAGGAGAGTGGGTGCCATCCAGATGTACCGGGCTGGCAGGGACAATTGGAGATAGGCAGTCCTCGGATAACCAAGCCTTATGCCATGAAGGGCTTTATAGGTGACAACCAGCCTAAATCACACCTGGAAGCCCACTGGCAAGCAATGCAGCTTGCATAGCAGCGGTGACACGTGGGCATAACAAAAAGTGCCTGTTATTGCTCACACTGCTGCATTTTGAACCAGCTGTAGCTTCCGGATGATCTTCGAGGGCAGCCTCATGTAAAGCACATTGCGGTAGTCCAATTGTGAGATGACCAGGGCATGAATGACTGTATTAAGGGCCTCCTGGTCAAGGAAAGGGCACAACTGGTGCACAAAATGAACCTGTGCAAAGGGCCTCCTGGCCACAAGCAGTAGTTGTAAGTCCAGGAGAACCCCCAAGTTGTGAAGTTGTGCACCAGTCTTGGATTCCATTACACCAGTCTCAAATTTCCATCATATACTATGATTGCATTCAGCAATGAACCTTCAATTCCATTTTCATGCAAAACATTCCATAATTCAAGCCTGATCACTTTACCATGTGCTATCTCTAAACTGACAAACGTACAATAAAATTCCTACATTCCTGCATATCTCAGTGACTTGCTGAAGAGCCCCAACCTCTGCCTGGCATAAAGCCTGAGATTCTCAGTTATTGCCCGTTGTCACTCTGATACCTTTTCAGTCAGAATTCTGCCAAAGACCTATCCAGTCTTTGCACACTTAGCAAGCCATCTCCCCTGCTGTTTTTGTATTCACTCTTGCTGCCCTTACGCTGGGGAACAATCATGGCACCCTTCCAACTGTCAGGTCATATGCAGCCTTTATACACATGTTAACACACATGTTAAACAAGTTGCATATCTATTCATAAACAAACTACATCCAAATGTTGACATGTTGATATCTACGCCAGCAACGTTACCATTTTCAGCACTTTCACAGCATTTATCACTTCTGCTTCATCTCCTTTCCTTTGACAAACATTTATAGCATGTATTATTAATTCCAATCTTCAACTAATCATTATCTTTATAGAGATCATACATACATATACGCATCTCTGAAATACTCTTTCCAGCATTCCCTCAGTTTAGTTTCATCCTAAAACATGTCACCACTCTTATTCTTCATTCTGTTCTTAACTGTTCCTTGGGTTTTCTTAGGACCTTCTGTGCAACTCTGTTTTTCTCTATATAAACATTATATAATACCTTTCTCACATCCTCACTTTTTGCAGTAATCATTCTCTTAGTTGCAGTTTTTCTGATCCACAGTCTATTTCACTTTGTCATTCCACCAAGCATACTTCATACTCCCTCATAGTGTAACACCACATGCTTCTGTGGTGTTCTATCACATAATTCTTTTCACTCTTTTCTAAGCAACTCCCACATCATCTTTCCTTACCACTACTTTTCATTTATTCTGTTGGAAGAGTGATGTTTTCTAATACCTTTTCATACATAATGTTTATTTTCTCTTCCTGCAATCACTTTACAGGTAGTCCTCAGGTTATGACCATTTGTTCAGTGACTGTTCAAAGTTACGACAGCACTGAATGAATGGTACTTATGACTGGTCCTCTGAGTTCCAGGCATCACAGCATCCCCGTGCTCATGTGATCATGATTTCTTTTCTTTTTTTCCATTTTATTTATGTAGTTATTTATTTATATAAAATTTTAATGAAAAGTTTTAAAGCAAAAATAAAAACTAACAGAAACTAATACAGAGTAAAGAAGAAAAAGAAAGAAAAAGAAAAAGAAAAGGACAAAGGTGGAGAAATAAAAGATTTAAAGAAATAGAAAGAAGCTTCTGATTTTCTTTGCAGCAAATATAAGTATGATTACAAAGTCACAGTAGACCCAACCCTCCTCTTTCTTTTGCATCTTTTAATACCTTATATTTAACTTGTGATTTTTCCCCCCTGCCATACAAATTTAGATATATCCTCTGCCATTGTTTAAATGGTACATCAGTTGTCAAAATAGGTACTGTCTGAAACAAAAATAACATTCGAGGTAAAACATTCATCTTAATCACAGAGATTCTCCCCAATAGAGATAATTGTACTCTGTCCCATCTTAACGTATCTATTTTAACTTCATTCCATGTCTTAACATAATTGTTTTGGAATAACATACAATTCATATTTGTCATAGTAATACCCAAGTATTTTACCTTCTTCTCCACCTTGAAACCTGTTTTATCCATCAATTCTATTTAATCTTGTACTTCCATATTTTTTTATTAACACCTTTGTCTTCTGTTTATTAATCTTGAAACCTGCTAGTGCACTAAATTCTTTTAATTTACTCATTAATAATTCAACTTCCTTTAAAGGGTCTTCCGGAACCAACTCCAAATCACCTGCAATCATCTCTTCTTACATATTTTTTAAAATCTTTATGCCCACAATCCATCTCATATGTCTCTATTCAATATTTCAAGGACCAGAATAAACAAGAGAGGGGGCAGTGGCAACCTTGTTTTATTCCTTTTTTGTACCTTACATGGTTTGGTTAAATTTCCATTAACAATTATTTGTGCTGTGAAGTATAAATTGATTTCATTCTCTCCAAAATTCATATCTTCCAAAACTTTAAACAAAACAGTCCAGTTGAAATTGTCAAAAGCCTTCTCTGCATCTAAAAAGATCAATGTGGCTTGTTTTTCATTATGTTGTTCCAAATATTCCAAAATACCCAGCACAGTTCTAACATTATCCTTTAACTGTCTTTTATGTAAAAACCCACATTGGTCCTCATGAATAAATTCTTGCAAAATATTTTCAGTCTTTCAGCTAAAATTGTTGTAAACAATTTATAACCGCTATTCAGTAATGATATTGGTCTGTAGTTTCTTGCTAAAGTCAAATCTTGGCCCTCTTTGGGTATTAATGTTATATTGCCCTCTTTCCAATTCTCTGGCATCTTTCTTCCCTGTAAAATAGAATTCATCATGTTTTGTAAAGGTTGTAAAAGTTCATCCTCAAAGTATACAGACTTGATAATCCAGCTGGTCCATGCACGTTTCCTGGTTTATTCTTTTTAATAGTGTCTGAAACATCCCTTATTGTTATAGGTCCATTAATAGTTTGCCTTTGTTCTTCTGTAATCCTTGGTAAGTTTTGTTTTCTAAGATATTCATCTATTTTCTCCAATGAAATATTATGTCCTTTATATAAATTAGAATAATATTGGTACAATGTTTTTTGTATAGCAACATTATCCATTAGTATATTATCTCCCTTGTGTAATTTCAATATCATTTTCTTTTCTCGTTCACAATTTATAAGCCAACCATTTCCCTGGTTTATTTGCAAATTCAAAATGTCTTTGTTGTGCATACTTCATTTTTTTTCCATTTCTCTTATTGTTAACATGGATAGCTGTTGCTGAAAAATCTTAACTTGTTGAGAACATGATCGTGATTTCTGACATTCCCTGCCAGCTTCCCATGAGCAAAGTCAATGGGGAAGTCAGCAGGAAGTTGGAAGTTGCAATTACATGAGGTCCTTGCTTAATGCCCAGCACGGTCCTCAAGTTACTACAGGACTGCTGGAATTGCCATTGCTAAGCGACGCAGTCATGTGACATTGCACTTTCTGACTGCATTGCTTAGCAATGGAAATTCCAGTCCCAACTGCTGACATAACCTGAGGACTTCCTATACTTTCACTCTTGATTCTTTCCATGCAAACGTGTTCTAAAAATGATAAGAAGCTGCTCAGATAAATGCATCACTTATGAAAATCAATCCCTGTGCTCAGATATCATCCACTGAACTGATAAAATATTAATGCTGTGCAATGCCTTTGGCCATTTTTTTCAGGTGGACCCTTATGGCAACATTCTTCTCAGCACTCTGGAAATGAACAATGAATTACTAGCTTCTGACATGATGACCACAGTAGGGGAATCACGAAACTCCGTCATGTCCTTTGAAGGATCAGGAATCCAGTTCCGCAAGCAGCTGGCTCCCCGAGATGGTTTTGGACACCACCCACCTGTAGAACGCCACATCCCGCTGGCCCATCATGCTGCAGCCCGTAATCGTGCCAACTGCCGACTTCGCCGGCGATCATCTAAGCTGAAGCTCAAAATTCCTGACCTGGCAGATGTCAGCACCATTGACAAATGGTCAAGGATCATTTTCCCTATCACTTTTGGATTCTTCAACCTGGTTTACTGGTTGTACTATGTAAATTGATGCCTGCAGACCAGAGAAAGAATAAGGGAAGACACTCAAACTATGACAACGACACAGGAGTGTGGCAATCTTTGGGGTTTGGGTTATTCTCTTAATTATGACCAATGCTCAATTATTCACTCCATCCCCACCTTTGGTTTACATTTCTGCAAAGCGTTATTCCTCTTTTCAGCACATTATGCACACACAGAGTATGTGTGGTGGGCTATGTGGGTTTGTTGAAGGGAGAGGGAATGGTTTTCAGGGATTTTCCTTCCTTCCCTCCCTTCCTCCCTCTCTCTCGTATGCTTGAAGTACTTCACCACCAGGGGTGGGTAGGGGGGAGATAATTTTTTTTAATTAATTATTGCAGCTAGTTTAGTCATTAGGGTAGTACTGCAAAAGTTAACTCTAGAATGTGTTGGCAAATGCCTAGTTATCAGCTCCATTAGCTCACAGATCTTTCAGTTCCTTACCTGTGAGGTCATTCCAAGAGCCTTTCTTACTTTTTTTCCTCCTTTCCTCATGGATTCTTTTGAAGGATGGAGCTACGTTCTCCCATAGCATGAGCTTCCTTTGTTTTGTCTCACCTTCTATCTTATAAGTGTATAAGAGTTTGTTTAAAAACAATGGAACCCCTATTTTACAACTGTTTGGGCAGAAATGGGAAATTACTAGTGGGTGGGGGAACATCTGGGGTTTGCGTGTTGAGGTCAAAGGTATGTTTGCAAGCTGCATTTACAACTTTCAGAAGTTTGGGAGTGTTTGTTTTCGTGGGATGAATGTATATGTTCTAGGGTGGAGGGAGGGATTTGTGTTGTCTGTTACAGAATGAGATTGGTGGAATATAACCGATAGTAGTAGGTATGAAAAAGGTAGAAGATTCATCCCAAATACACTTGCCAGTAGGTGTCATAAAGAAATGCTGCTGCTGCTCTGTATGGAGTTTGACTTTGCCTGGATCTGGAGTGTCCCCTTCAGTCTGCAACATCTTTCCTGGCCACTGCCCTTATTTCTTGATGCCAGAGAGATGGATCTGAAAACATCTCAAGTAGCGGTAAAACTTACACGGATCCTTCCCAGTCTATGTGGTTCTTTCTATCATACCATTTGATTGGGTGCAATATGACCTGGGAGTAGAGTCTATGAAGTCCTAAACATTTGCGAATTCCAGTGAGCAGAATTGTGGCCCATTATCTGTTGTTCGTTTGTTATTTATTATGTTTCCTATTTTATTTAATTTATAGGTTGCCCAACCCCCAAATAACTCTGGGTGGCTTACAACTAAAAACCAACTTATTAAAAGAAAATGCAACAGAAGAGCAAAATGCAAAAACATCAAGCCAAAATAAAGCAAAGCAAAACAATCTCTTCAGATATTCCACGCTTGCAAGGAGAGACAATGCAAAATTATTATTTGACTAAACAAAAATTCTAAACAAATTTCTAGAAATTTAGAATAACAACTAGTATGAGATATTTTACTCTGAAATTCGAATATAGCCATTCCCAACTCTGCTAAGGTCTCGTAGACAATTCATGCATTTCCACTGGTTCTTTATATTTCTGAAAGTCTAATATAACTTGTACATTGTCTTTGGAGTATTCACATCTGGCCAAAAGAAAACCTCTTTAGCCTTTCTCTTACACACAAGCCTTTGATGTATTATTTTCAAGTTCTCACCTCTACCCGTTGAAGTATTATCATTTTATCATTTTTGAAAAGTGAATCTTCATAGGCATTCAACTTCCCTCTGTAATTCCAGTATTTTTTACATCCTCTGGAACTTCTTTCCTTCCTGGGATATGCTGTCAAAATAATATTTTTGAATAATCGTACAGTTCTATCATTTAATGTAGCATCTTTAAATTCTTCCATTTTTCTGTCAAACATAAATAAGGTATCATGTGGATTATAACATCAGAGTAATCCAAATCATCTCTAAAAGATCTCTAGACAGGCAGGGTGTATGCAATTACCAGCTTATTTCCTGACTTAAGCATTTCTTGCAGTTGCTACTTCGGCACATCAATAACCATCTTTGGATTCCTATAAGTGAACAGTATAATGGTTTCTTAAAAATAGATTGCAAAGATTTATGACCAGTTATTTTCCAGAAATAAAGAGAAGTCTTGTACATCCAAAAACAATAGCTAACATTTCTTTTTCTATCTGAGAATAATTTTGTTGTGTTTTAGACATGGCTTTAGAAACATGCCACAGGAAATCCTCTTTATAGCAATACTGCACCTAAACAGATGCACTAGTATTTTACCGATACTGTGTTTTTCACATTATATTTTAATATGGGTGCCTTTGTTAACAACTCTTTTAATTTATTAAATTTGTCTTTATTAATTGGCATCCACTGTAATTCCATATCCTGCAACAACAATTTGCTTAATGCAGTTGTCCCATGGCCATTTCTGGAAGATATTTTGCTAAATAATTGGCCATACTTAAATATTGCTTGGTTCATTAACAACAGTGTCAATCTTCATTTGATCAGGTACCACACCACTAGAAATTAACATATGCCCTAAATACTTTACATCATTTAGTCCAAATTTACTCTTTCATTTATTTAATTTAAACTTCTTCCCCCACCTTTTCAAAAGCTTGTTAACTCTTATGTTCCTATTTCCCTTACCCCATGTCAGAATATCATCATTATATGTCATGAAGCACAAGACTCCTTCTAAACCTTCTAGAATCTGCTGTATTACTTTCTGATATACTTCTGGAAAGAAGAAATACCAAATAACCTTTTAAATTGGTACTTACCAAAAGATGTACTAAAAATACATAGCTCTGAACTCCTGTAATCTAACTGGATTTGCAAAACACTCATTACTTGCCTTCAGAACAATTGTGGACCCACTCAACTGGCTTCTTCTACAGTTGGTAACTAATAGTGTTTTCTCAAAATAGCTTTATTTAAATTTCTGGGACCCAAACATATCCTTGTTTGTTTCCTTCCAGGTTTCTCCACAATTAGTACTTGGTTTACTCATTCAACAGAATCATCTACTTTTATTACAAGTCCTGTATTCAGTTCTTGTTCAATTTTTAATATTACAGGAATATTTCTTGGTGCACTGAAACCATCTGCTAATTTAATTTAATTTAATTTAATTTAATTTAATTTAACTTAATTTTTAATTTAATTTAATTTTTAACATCCTAATCCTGAAAATCCATTTTTTAAATTCATCTACTGTACTACAGGAACCCTACTTCTTGCAAAAACTCTCAGTACAAGATTTAAATAAATTACTGCTTTTAATCCTAAAGCAGTCTTTGCTTTGAAATCTACCACTGAAACTTTAATATCAAAGTAATATGCTTATACCTACAATTTATTTCACATTTTTCTATAAACCGCAACCATTCTATAAGACACAGCATTTGCTTGTGCCCCTGTAAATCTTAAAATTTACAATTTTATAATGATTAATAATTATATAAGCAACCCCTTCATCTTTTATTCCCTGTATTTTAATAACTCCAGTAAAAAGCTCTGAATGATCCTCTTCTTCATTCAGAGCACATAACTTTTTTGTCATTAGTTCTATGCAGTTTTGTAAAACGATTAAGCTTTCCACACCACTCTCCTTCATTATTCCTCAACTGCTGTGCATGCTCTTTTAGGGTGATAAACTTCACATCTGAAACATGGGTGTTTCCAGTCTCTGGCCTTTGGCATCACAATTGATTACTGAGATTTAGCTTTTGTGGAGATTAACTTTTTACTCCTCAAAATATCAGTTTCCTTACTGGTACTTTTAGCCGAGTTACAGCCAACGCTTCAGCCCTATGGACATCAATGGCATGTTCCAACATTAATCTTGCTCTTACTCTTTTGGATCTCATTCTACACACTACACAGTCTTTAAAGAGTTTCACACAAATGTCCCGAAAGTTTTAACTCTGCTATGTAGAGGGTAATATCTCATTTTTGTTTCTTCATAAAAAAGCATGCCTTTCATAATGTAATATTCTTTATTGGTGCACAAATAGTTTTCACATTTCTCAAACAATGCTTGCAACTTTTGCTTATCAGAGTCATGGTCAGACCGGAGTGTAGTAAAGACTTTGGTTGCCTCATCTCTAGTAACATGCAGAAACAGGCTGTCTGTAGTTTCTCATTCTTTGCATTAAGTCTACTATCCACCCAATGCAACTCAAGCCTTTGCTCCCATTTTCTCCAGTTTTCTGCCACATATCCTATAAAACCTAACCGACCTGAAGACTGCAGCTGATCTGTACTAGAAGCTTCCAAAATTTCTTGGTTTCCTTCTGACACCGAGTTATATTTGTTCTGTCATGGCAAACAGAAATAACTGAAACCCAAATCAAATATTCCTGTAAGTTTTACTGCTACCAGTTTACATCAGGTGCTTGTCAGCACCCAAAGATAACTCTCTTGATCTACTTGTCTAGCCCAATTACAATTTTCCTTCCAAGAAGTACAACTCATAACAACCCTGACTCTCATAGTGACCACTGTGATTCCCAAACCTGGAAGGAGCCCTGTGGGTTCTCAGCAGTTGGAGGTCAGCTGCAGTTAGAACAAATAGAAGTTGGCACTGCTCCACCTTTCTCTGGGTGTGGAAATGCCTGTAGTTGGAAGTTGCAGCTCCTTTTGAAATCTCTGCAAATGGAAAACAAAATAATTCTGCCTGGAGGTCTCTATGAAGAAGTAATTATCAATACTGACAGCTCTATGGAAGGTGCACGTCAATAGAGTAACAGATTAAAGGAGTCATCTATCTTTTTATTCCTCATTCCTGCAAATACACCCTTTTTCCTTCAACTGTGCAGTTAAAATTGCTCCAAGTCCAGCTCCTAACATTGTATAATCTAGGAAAGTTTGTATTTCCAAGCAAAAATTCTGGCCAGTGACTCTGAAAAAGGGAGAATAGCAGCGTTGCTGTGACTTGTCACTATTTGGACGAAGGCTTCAGCTACACAAACAAGTAGTGTCTGTCCATTTCCTACTGCCCATACATCCAACCCCGTAACTGGCATCCTTTTAACAACTGCAGTCAGTCCTCACTTGACTACCAACTATGTCAAAATGGCTTGATTTCTGTTCATTGGCATGTCAATCAAGCCGTCCCCCTGACAGCTGTGAAGTAGCCAGGAGCTACCTGAGCATCACTTTGCCTCATGGGCAAGAGCCTGAACTGGCATCCCATTTTCTATCTTGATTCTTGTTATGCTTGTTTTCTAGGTCACTCTTGATCAGCTTTTCAAAACATTTTTGTTCAATCTTCTTTGATGCATGCAAATAAAATAGTTGGGATTTAATCTGCTTCTCTAATACTGGAGAAGCGACACACAAGAGAATAGGAGCAGGAAAGGTCTTCATGAGAACGCTTGATGA